AAAATACCCTTCCCTTAGAACTTATATATTTTGTGAAATCGTTTTAAGGAAATGGAGAAATGAGGAAAAGGGGTTCTATGTTTTTCAGTGAAATCGTTTCTAAATTCTATGAAAAATGGAGAAAATTGGGGGAAATTAGGGATAAGCTTAGTCCACGTTGCATGAATGGAACTCTATTAACTCATGTGGCATGCTATGTGACATCCAAATGACATCTAAGTGACGTTTAATCGATTTTATTAATGAGAAAGATATTTTTGACCCAATAGTTTGACGATAAAGGTATATTTGAATCGAAATATACTTCAAGGATATATTTGAGCTATTTCTGATAGTTCAAAAATATTTTTGACCCTTTTCCGATTTAAATGTTGAAACACAAACAAATTATGCTAATAAAAAAACAGGAATAAAAAAAAATAGATATTACAAAAAATTGTACCATGAGAAGAAAATGAAATATAAACAATATAGAATAAGAATTATACTTTTAAAAAATATTAAAATAACAAAAGTATTTAAAATAATAGAAATAAAAATAAATTAAAACAAAAAAAGAGTAAAAGCAAGAAATAAAAAATAGTTATCTTATAATTACATTTATATAATATAATAATTCTCAATAATTTATAGTGTCCTTGAGAATAGAAGAATGGAATTATCATTGTAAATTACATTTTATCAGTTTATGTATCTGATCAACCAAAAAGTGTTGGTGGTTTTCTAAGATGTCTTACTTTTTTTCAAAGACATGTGTTTAAGGTTACGTACCCACAATATTTTCTATTTATTTTATTTATAATATTATATCGAATATATTGTTATTTTGTATACATAGTTGATTAATGTTTTAGAAATTTCCAAATAGATGTTTGCTAACCTTTTGCTCCCAAAAATGAATTCCCTTTTTCCTCTTTGTTTAATTTTCTCTTTTTTTCTTCCTATGTTTGCTTCTTCCACGGTGTTGTTTCAGGTATCCCCAAATAACCCTAATTAATTTCCTCAAAATTTTAGTATGTTTATGTACTTGCTTTACATATATATTTATTTTTAAAAATGTAATTTTTATTTTTTTTAGGGGTTCAATTGGGAATCGAGTAATAAGCAAAGTGGTTGGTACAATTCTCTCATCAATTTAGTACCAGACTTGGCTCATGCTGGAGTTACTCATGTTTGGTTACCACCATCATCTCACTCTGTTTCTCCTCAAGGTAATTTTGCGAATTAGTGATCAATAAAAATCAGGGTTTATGACTCGTTCAACTCAACGGATTTTAGTTGAGTCTAGGGCCAATAGCCTATGAAAATATGATTTGTATAACCCATAAAATTGAATTGATATATATAGCTCAAATTGACCCTTAGGTCCTTATTTTTTAATATTTTCTTAGAAACAGACGATTTTATAAAGTTAGTAAATCAAAGAGATGTTAGTTTTATCCCTTTTTTTAAAAAAAATTATAAAAACATGGAAAAAATTTGAATGAGTCGGGTTATGATGTGTTTTTAATCTATTCAACCTAAGTAACTAGGTGGATCATATCCATTCAATCATTTAACTCAGCTCATTTTCACATAATGGAACGACCCGATTTGATACCACTAGTTCAGACACATGTAAGGTACCCTGAACGCAACAACTGATGGAAAAAAGAAAAGAGTGGTATTCATGTTTTTCTTGGTTTTCCATCTGGTGTTTGTGGCTCCCATATTGAAGCTTCGACTAAATTCGGAGCGCGCTTTGGAAGGCCCATCTGGGGGTGGCACTCTCAACATGAATTTTTTCATACCCAGGGTTCGAACCCGAGACGCGTGGGAGTGGTATTCATGTTCAATTGTTAGAAATCATAGTTATATTTCCCATGATAGGAAGGTGGATGGAATCCATAACTTAAAAGACTAGAGTTTGAGCTAATTGTCTTATAAATGGAATGCATTTTACATGTTTGAAAGATTGCCCAGATTAAAAGTGATGTAGTTGTTACAAACGGGATTACGTATATGATCTTTTATGCCAGGTTATATGCCAGGAAGATTGTATGATTTGGATGCTTCCAAGTTTGGGAATCAGCAAGAACTGAAAGCTCTTATTAAGGCTTTACGTGACTATGGGATCAAATCGGTTGCTGATATAGTAATAAATCATCGATGTGCTGATAAAAAAGATAGCAGGGGAATATACTGCATCTTTGAAGGAGGAACAACAGATGACCGGCTTGATTGGGGTCCGTCTTTCATTTGCAAGGACGACATACAATATTCTGATGGCACGGGGAACCTAGACACGGGTTTGGACTTTGAACCTGCCCCTGATATCGATCATCTTAATATCAGAGTGCAGAAAGAGTTATCTGATTGGATGAATTGGCTCAAGTCTGAAATTGGATTTGATGGCTGGCGTTTCGATTTTGTTAGGGGATATGCACCTAACATCACCAAGATTTACATGGGAAACACGTCCCCGGATTTTGCAGTTGGTGAATTTTGGAACTCTCTTGCATATGGACAGGACGGGAAACCGGACTATAACCAGGACAATCATAGGAATGAGCTAGTTGGTTGGGTTCAAAATGGGGGTGGGGCTGTAACAGCCTTTGATTTCACAACTAAGGGAATTCTTCAAGCTGCAGTTGAAGGAGAGTTATGGAGATTGAAAGATTCCCATGGAAAACCCCCTGGGATGATAGGTGTTTTGCCTCAAAATGCTGTGACTTTTATCGATAATCATGATACTGGATCGACACAAAATATGTGGCCATTCCCTTCGGACAAAGTTATGCAAGGATATGCATACATTCTTACTCATCCAGGAATTCCATTAGTGGTAAAAAAAAAAAAGAATTCCTTCCTCATTTCTCATTGTGTCTACTTTACAAGAATTTTGTATGCTTTTCCGGGTAGTTGAGGAACTTATCCTGTGTGAGTTAGCCAACAATGCCAATCTCAGTAGTATGCTGACAGAAAAGATAAAATTAGTTAAGCTAATGATCAATTTTCATAGTACAGAATAGGCATAATGCATAACAAAGACCCAAATTAGGCCTCTGGTGGCAAGTCAGCACTCCAATTTTAATTTTGAGTATGCACATCTAGACATCTCAACTCGTCTACACTGTGTCAGTTGAACACTCCAACTTATGAAATGATCATCTAGACACCTTCAAAACAGCGACCAAGTTGTGGTGTCTAGATGTGCACTCTCCAGTTGGATTACTTGCTTGTCAGCTGAACCTGAGGCCAAGTTTGAGTTGTTTGTTTATGTATTATGCCTGCAAAATATGACTCGTACAGCCAACCCTAACTTGATTGAGTTGAGGCATTTGCAAGTAGCTGAGGAGTTAGATTCTTGTTTTTGGTTGCAGTTTTATGACCATTTCTTTGATTGGGGCTTGAAGGATGGAATATCAGCACTAATCTCTATTAGGAAGAGGAGTGGGATTTGTGCAACAAGCAATGTGCAGATTTTGGCTTCTGATTCTGATCTTTATATAGCAATGATTGATCAGAAAATTATTGTCAAAATTGGGCCAAAACTTGATCTTGGAAATCTTATCCCACCTAGTTATCAGGTGGCAACTTCTGGACAAGATTATGCTGTATGGGAGAAAAAGGCATTCATTTACCATACTAAATGTCACCATGTACAAAATGGTTCTCAGTGTTTAATGTCATTTGACTGAAAATGTAATGTATATCAGAAACACATAATCAAGACAAAAAAAATCAAGAAATTATATGCAGTTTACCATTACGGCTCATTTCAGGAAATAACAGGACTCAATATCTAGGACTCAATATCTTAAGTTTTAGTAAGATGTCGCATAGAAAAGTTTAGTAAGATGTTGCATAGCACGTGTGTCTCTTTATTTAATTTTATACATGACATAAATGCGAGCCGATATCAAATTAAATGACGTACTTTTGTATCATATTTATACTTAAATGCGAATCAATAGAATTAGCACTTCCTTTGATAAATCTGAGTTTGAAGCTCAAAATCCATTACTGGAGGAATTTTGAAGAAGAAAATGAAAAGGAAAAGTAAATTGTGTTATTGCGAATAATGAGCAGAGTGGTATTACAATTGTATCTACTCCTGCATATGAATAGACAGAGGGCAACTCAGGATTTAAAGATTTTGAATACATTAGTATAAACATACGGTAAATATGAGGTCTAAGCTAAACTTTAAAGAAATATAATAAAAATAAACTTAGGATTTGATGTATGGGGATATTTTATAAGCTCAACTTTTAAAAAAGAACCGAAGCTGCTTTATATATATCTAATCGTGTGGAGATGGATGACCTACTTTGAAGGTATTTTGGTTTAAATATTTTTAGGAGACTTACCTATTTTGAACATGCAATAATATATGAAGTCGATCGTGGTTTTAAATTTAGCGTCATTTGAGTATGTGATTTGAAATCTTTCTATAGTGAAAAATATGATTTGAAATATCAAATTGTGGTTTCGTTTTTTTTTTTAAACGTAAAACTTGATGATAAATTTAATTTTGTTAAAGAAAACTGTTATTTAAAATTTTGTAAAAGGAAAAGACTCATGAAATATCATTTGTTATTACTGTTATTGACTTTTTATGAAATTATGTGTATTTAAAATTTTATAATCATAAATATCTATTTATGAAATTAAACATGAAAATACACAATTTATTAATATTTCGATATATTTTGTTAATTATGTTCGCTCATTTTGCAAAATTACATAAACACAAATACTTTTTAATTAACTTACTACTTGTGAAGTTCTCATATTTATGAAAAAAACATAACTATTTTTAAAAAAAATTACATGTCCAAACAAAAAACTTCAATTTCAAATAATAAGGAAGATTATGGTCGCTTGGCTTTTTCATTTTTTATTTAGATTTTTATGTGATATTAAAAAGATGACGTCAAATTTGCTGTGTATCAAATGAAAAAAAAAAAAGAGTTTGTTCAATTTGAACAAAATAAAACATGCAGAAGTCAAAATAATATGGGTTCCAAATCATTCATGAATACTTCTATATATTAACAGCTAATGTTTTAATTATTTGTAAAGCAGTAATACTAATCATATGATAGTACATTATTTTCATGTAACCACAAATGCAAATATAGTTATTTTTTTGCAATTAATCATTACTGGTAGTAGTTGTTTTTTCTGCTGTTTTTTTAAGAGCCTGGAAGACTTTAGAACTTTTGTCAAAAATCTGTGCTCTCCTATTGTAATCCATTGGTGCTTTACCTTCATCATCTCCCATTATTGCTTCTCTTTCTAAACACTCCAATAACTCAACCATTCCACCCATCCCTTCTTTACACTTACCTGACATTCTTCCCAAATTATCAATTTGTTCCTCCAATCTCTTTTCAATCGAATCTCCTTTTCCACACTTGGACCATAATAGATACCTTTCCTTCTTCTCATTCGATGAAAATGGCTGCCGGATTCGATAGGCATTATTACCATAACCGCTTGGAATTTGAAGGTTATAATAACGAGGAGTTGCAGAAATGTCGGAATTGGGAATCAGAAATTGAGGGACAAAAGACGCCATAGCCGTTAGAACAAATTTCGTGGGAATCGAAATCAAAAAGCTGCAAATTTTTGGCGATCTAGAAAGGGATATATTAGCTGAAGGATAGTGGCCACGTGGCTGAACTGACAATATCACGTGGAAGGTACTAGAAGCGGCACGCTTCTCAAAGTGATGCCACGTGGCGTGCTAGCGGTAGCAAAAACGGTTGCGGGCTACCGAGTGGAGCCGTTTCTGAATTCTCTTAAGCCTCCTCCTACTTTATCCCTATTCTATTTCCACCGTCCCTCAATCGTAATCAATTTTCAATAAAATGTTTTGAAAAACTCAAAGATTTATTTACGTTATTTAATAAAAATTTGAATTATTTATGTCATTATTGTTTCAGAAAAAAATTCATTCATGATATTAGTTTTGATAATGGTTTTGCAAAATTACTTTTGACATGTGGCCAATTATAATCCAGTCATATCATTAATTTTTAATTAAAAATTCAGAATTTTGAAGAAAAACAATATTCAATTTTTTTTAAATTTTTTTATTTAAAAAATCAAAATTCTGAATAAAAGTTTGATTTTATTTTTTGATTTTTTTATTAAAAAAATTGATAACATGAATTATAATTGACCACGTGTCAAAAATGGTTAAAAAATAATGGCACGAATAAGTTTTTCTTCAACGGTAATGACTTTAATGAGTTAAACTTTTAACTAATGGCATAAATGAGTCTTTTCTAAAATCCAATGGCATATTTGAGTCTTTTCTCTAAAATAAATAAAAAATCAAGATTGATTAATATTCTCTCCTTTTAATATTAATTCATCTTATTTTTTATATGCTTGATAAAAAATTATAAATAAAAGTGTAAGAAAGCAATTTTATTTCACTCCATAAAATATTTTTTGAAATTTTACAAAATATTTTCAAAAATAATTAATTGCAAGGTTAATATTAAAAAAAATTGAATTAATATGAAACAACTAATTTTTAAATAAAATGATCAATTAATATCGAACGGAAGGAACGATAAATTAGTGTTTCCCTCTCTTTTAATCTAAAGTAAAGAAGAACCACACGCAACGCAACTCATTTGCCAATGTACTTTCAATGAGTTTGTTCACACTACAAGCAAGTGACTAATTCTTGTAGGAGACCTAATATAATTTAAGATCAAAGAGGGAGGTTAACAAAAAACAATGAAAGAGAAGAATAAAATAGAGGCTTGGGCATGAAAATGATAAATCTATCTATCCATACAATGGTGGATCCATTATGGCAGGGAATTTATCTACAACCGTTATACCTTGTGTACCAAAAAACATAGAGATGTGCATACATGATTTAAAGTTTTAACACTAAATCCATTCTACTTATGAACTTATGGATACAGGTAAACCATTTATTGAATTTTTAGAGGATATTCATACGTACATTTATATATTCATATACAAGTGTGTGTGTATATATGTGCTCCATGTCAAAGAAACTGACGCCAAATGCCCCTGTGACAAGATAACTATGACCAAAGTAAGCTGCTAATGGAAATTTACCAGCAGCAACAATCTCCTCTCCAGGACATTTCATTGCTTATGGATAGCATGATTAACAGATGAATCCTTCATTCAGGTCTTGACATGTCGAAACAAAAAAAGAATGGAGTAGGATCATGATCCTAGTTGTCCCTTCAACAGCAACAATTCTCCTGTGGCTCTTGACCAGATGTTTGTTCCCTAAGCCTCCTCTCAGCAGCTATAGAAGCAGCAACAGAAGGTGGAAAATGGTTCAAGCTCTCCGTTGCCTCTTCATCGGTGGAAGGTGCCGGTGCCACCCTGAATAAGGATTCAACATCTCTTAGCGTCAAAATGGGCTGATCTTGATTCTTTCTGTTTCCACTAACAAATGAACCAATATTCCTGCTCTTGTTCAGCTTGTATATGCTTTCCTCAACTGTGTCTTTCACCTATTATAAAAAAGACAACAAAAAGAGATCTTAATGAATCACCCCCAGTGAAGGATGTATTATACGCGGCAACCATTGAAAAATAAGACTGGAAAGTAGGTCTTCACTTCAAAATACATAAAACGACACATTTTGTATGTAGAAGAAAGCTCAACCGATGGTTAGAAAACAATACTACAATTTTTGGTTCATTGTACCAGAAAGTTTAGATATAACACAGTTACCACACAGAGTTAGGTTTCGACTTCCAATTCAATTATAATGAAGTTTCGATAGAGATACATACTATAAAACGGTGAACAAGAGTCTTATGTGCTTGCCCAATTCGATGCACCCTGCCAATGGCTTGTGCCTCTGCTGCAGGATTCAGCAATGGTTCAACAAGTATAACATGCTGGGCTTCCAGAAGATTGAGGCCATTGGCTCCATGTTGGATCAGGAGCAGCAACACTTGAATGGATCTAGTTTCTGGTTGGCCCACATGTCTTTTGCCATTTTCTTCAACATTGTTGTTGTGGCCTCTGAATTGGCTGATGGCAGCATGTGATTTCCTGTGAACGCAGTAATTAAATTTAAAACTTGAAACTAATGTGTCATAGCACACTCTTAAGCCATGCTACATGAACTATTTGGCCATAAAATCAAGAGCTGCTTCCTTCACCGATTTTAGGAATGAACTATGAATATGCAGTGACTTCATTCCAACTATTAGCTTCAGTATGAGCCCAACACTGCTAAAATTCACATTAGCATCATAATTAAGATATAACTAGTGAGCTGAATCAAACTATGCCATGGACAAGAAATATTTTGAAACGTAAATAATGGAGCTTGCTAACATATAAGAGGATGAAGAAGCAGAAAAGCAAGAGTGGATTAATGCTTAGTTCTGACATCATCAATGTTGGGAAGACAGTTTATGAAGTTTAGCTGATTTACAACATTAAGTTTGTCGAAAACCATACTAGAGCAACATAGTTTGGATTGTACAAATTGGATACTTTTGATATATAATTCGCTCGAAACGATTTAAGTTTGCGGTATGTCGAATTGAAAAAAAAAGAAGAGAAGAAGATGACGAAGCAGAAGAAGATGATGATGAAGAAAAATCCGAAGAAGGATAAGAAGATGAAAAAACAAGAGGAAGGATAATGGCTAAAGTGAAAGGAAGAAGAGAAAGCTATGGCCGAATGGCTAATTCGGCCATTTTTCTTGTATATAAATTAGCCGAGTGGCTCTTTTCTATAATTAACTCCTTTCTTTAAACAGAGACTTCAGATAATGCAGGAAAATATGAATTCAGTCTCATGGTTGCTATAATCGTGAAAAATAAGTGTTCCCTTCTGTTCCTAGAAAACCACTATTTTTGAACTTTGAAAGAACCAAAAAAGGTATAAGCAAACTATTACCTTCCTCCTTTCATCCGCACAAAAGTTATGTTGTTAGCCGCAAACGCATGCTCTAATACATCCAGCACATCATTCCAACTGCTAAAGACAAGAACCTTAGCTACTGGATTTGTGGAAGTGATCCATAAAATTCTTCTGGTGACAGCTTCAATCTAGAATACAACATTCATCAATAAATTGAAAATGCATTACAACTTTTGTTGTTACATACACAAATTCCTACTGTCCTAAAATGAATGATACAGTTCCATATTCAGTTCAAGTTATCAGTTTGCAGTTTAGTTAAGGAATTATGTATTAAAAGTAAAACTAATCAAAACTGCAACAACATGCAATGATTCAACTACAGATTTTAGTCCTAACAAGTTAGCAGACTCTATGTCTATAAAGTACTTCCTCTTGTTGCAAGGTGCTTCTACAACTTAAATGGAAGAACTTCTCCATCATTCTGATCAGATATAGTTTATATTTCTATATTATTTGATTGGAAAGTTGACTCTGTATAGCAAGTACTTCCTTTGTTGCAAGGTGATTGATACAACTTAAATGGAAGAACTTCGACTCCAATTGTATTATTTGATTTGAAATTTTCCCAACTAACTTCCGTTCTTCAGTCTTCCCATTTCAAATCATTATCTCAATCATTTATTTATCAAATTCAATAAAATAATTTATTTGAATATTCGACTATTAATATCCTCAATATTCAGACCAAGGCCATACCTATTTATCCTTCTACGAATGAGCTAAACAACAGTGTTCAAGATAAGATACAATGACACATGCTCTTTGCAGACGATATTGAGTTAATTGATGAAGTCAGTGAGAGTGTCAATCAGAAGTTGGAACCATGGAGAAGAACTTTACAGAGTAATGAATTTAGGATAAGTAGGAGTGAGACAGAATACATGCTCTGCAACTTTTGTCTAATAGGAGTGAAGTTGAGGTGAGATCAGACGGAATTGAGGTACTTAAATGTAAATAGTTGAGATATCTAGGTTCAATGTCCCAGGAAAATGGAATGATAAATGAAGATGCTGTGAATAGGATTAAGTAAGATGGTGGAAATGGAAGCAAGCCACAAGAGTGTTATGTGATAGGAAGATACCAATGAAAGGCAAGTTCTATACAATGTCTTTGTTAGCACCCTTTTAGTCTACCAATGGTCTACACATGGAATATTTAAGGAAATTTGAAAGTAGAATTCATCAGCTTATAAGTTATTTATTTTTTATTTCTGTCCGGCAGTGTTTGTAGTAGATTATTACAGTTTTTTAGTTATTTACTGGAACAGCTTATAAGTTGTTGCAGCAAGGAAGTTATTCCTCCACTTTCTCATTCAGTTGTAGTAGGCAGTTTTATTAGACAGTAGACAGTTATTTTCCTTATGTCAGTATTGTATTTAATGTATTTGAATTCAGTGAAACGATAAGCAGAAAATTAGTCAAGTCTTTGAGTACTTCAAACTCAAGAGATCGCAGGTTCTCTCTTAACGAACCAGCACTATAGGTCGTAGGAAGAAAACTTCAGATTTCATATTCCAGCGTCCCATAACGAGATCCATAACCAGGGACCTTAACAGTCTTTAAGGCCAACAATGTTGTATGGGAGTGAATGTTCGGCCTCTACAGCCCAACATATTCACAAAATAAGTGCCTCAATGATGCGAATGTTATGATGAATGTGCAGTCAAACAAAATTTTAAAAAGATAAAAACTCTCACATATCTTAGAAGGTACAAATAGCGGATTTAGAGGATAGAATGACAGAATCTCGCTTAAAACATAATGATTGACACTGCTAAAAATGGAAAGGAAGACCTAAAATCACGTGGGAAAATGTTATCATAAAATATATTCCAGAACCTAGGAAGATCTAGATAAGCAATGGAAGTTGAAAATCCA